TGCTATAATCATCCTTAATACAGTCAAAAGATCTTTCCTTTCCTCTTATCTGTAAATTCATTACTGATTAATGATTTGCCATCCTTAGAGAGACCTAGACCATCACCATAATCCATATAATATCTCTTCTTGAGCACAAAAAGTAGTTTTTACTGACCTTCCTGTCTTCTCGATCTTTGTCTCTTCATATTAAGCAGTCCAATTCCTTAAACTGTTTCCCATCAACTTTCTCTGCTATTACTTTCAAGAATTTCTATGATATACACTACAACATCTGAGTCTTCAATTTTTCTCTTGAGTTAGCAGACTCCAAACTCAATCTTGAAGAGGGCTCATAAAGACATCATGTATATATATTTTCCCAATTTAGAAATTTTAAATAAAGGTATTTTAAATAAAAAATTAATTTCAAAGTAGATTTAGAAAGCTTTAATGCTTAAGAGCTTTTACTAAAGAAAACTCCAAATATACATTGTGATTGTTAATTTTATGTATCAAGTTGCCTATGTCAAGGTACCCAGATTTTTGGTCAAACATTATTCTAAAAGTTTCTGTGAAGGTACTTTTTAAATGAGATTAACATTTAAATCAGCACACTTTGAGTAAAGTAATTTGCCCTCCATAATGTGGGTGAGGCTCATCCAATCAGTTAAAAGTTTAATAGAAAAGACTAACACCCTAGGAAGAGAGAATTCTGCCAGCAGATTGCCTTTTGATTTGCAGTACAGCACCAGCTCTCCTGTGTCTCCAGTCTGCTGGCCTACCCTGCAGATACTGAACCTGCCAGCTGCCATAATCTGAGAGAGCACCAATTCCTTAAAATAAATCTCTCTATATGTTTACACACATTTTACCACTCTGTTTCTCTGAAGAACCCTAATTAGTCAGGGTTCTTCAGAAAAGAAGATATGGTAAATCTTTTATCAAAGTCATTACATGGACTTTGGGCTTCCCAGGTGGCACTAGTGGTAAAGAATGTACTTGCCAATGCAGGAGGTGTAAGACGTGGGTTTGACCCCTGGGTTGGGAAGAGCCCCTGGAGAAGGTCATGGCAACCCACTCTAGTATTCTTGCCTGGACAGAGGAGCTTGGTGGCCTACAGTTCATAGGGTTGCAAAGAGTGGGACATTACAGAAGTGACTTACCACACATGCATGTGGACTGCGAGGTCAGACACATCTGGGTTTCTTATTGTGTCTCTGTCATGTTATTTAGCCTTATACTATTGGGTTTCTATTTCCTCATCTGCCAAAATGGGGACAATAATCTGAATCTTGCAAAGCTGTTGTACACATTAAAGGAAATCAGAGCACTCAGCACAATGCTTAGCACAAAGTAATTGCTCAGTAAGTGTGAGTTTTCATTATTGATATTAACATTATTGCTACTTTCACTATTCTTCCTTTCCATGACTCCTTGAAATGTGTTTTGATTATACAACATCCATCTTGAGCTGCATATTTATAAAATTGTTCTTGCAGTATGAAGACTAATAGTGACAACTTACTTGAGCTTCTGTACTTCGCGATTTGGATCTTTTAAGCCTTCACAGAGCAGTTTCAAAGCCAAAGCTTCCAGTTTTGTTTCACTAAATTCGAGCTCAGTGAGCCACTGATTGGTGCTGTGAACAGTTGCTTGTGAACACCACAAGAAGCAGGAGAGATAAGGCATCGGTACAACCTTTAGAGAACAGAAGAATGACCTCATTACTTTATTCATGCTTTCCCTCAAAACAAAAGAAACTGACCAAAAAATTACATGAACACAAACAACAAATTCTCCTGCTCTCAGTTACCTCAATGTCTATAAGATACAGTTTGGCTGTTTTAGTCCTTCACACAGAAGCTTCATTTCAGAATCTTCCAGGGTGTTTTTCACAAATCCCAAATCTGTCAGATACTGGTTGGTTTCAATTACTAAGGCGAGGTCTCTGCCATAAGAGGCTGTGAGGTGGCAGAAAATCAGTCTGTGTGCAGAAAAAGCATTTCAGAGGAGAAAACAGAACTCTCTATAAAGATACTTGTTTGCCTCATTACTGATATAATGAATTATTTCAATTCATTCAGCAATTAATTTATTAGGTGCTAATCACTGTGCAAGATGTGAAAACACAGAAATAATTAAGACCCAGCCCAGACTCTGCCCTCAAGGAATGCCCAGTTAATGGGGAAAAAATTTAGAAAATCATGAATTATAATACAGTGTGGAAAGCACTGCAAGTAGTATACACAAGGCACCATGGAGACACAGAAAAGTGGACTAGCCTGTGGGAGGGGGTTGGAGGATCAAGAAATACTTATGAGAGGAGCAAATACTTTAGTTCTGCTTGAAAGGGTAATAAAAATTGAACAGGAATTAGGTAGATGAGGAGAATCAGAGTGGGGAGAGCATGAGGTGCTGAGGAACAACCTGTTCATGAAGCAGCCTGTGCAAAAGCCAGGAGGCAAGAGAGGGGAGGCTTCAGTTGAGAAACTGTCAATTACTTGCTATGGGCTACTTTATAACACTGGAAGATACATATCAAACTGTTAACAATGGTTATCTTCCAGGTAGGAGGGAAGGGTTGGATTATACGGAGACATTTACTTTTTAGTATTTAAAAGATCAGAAATTATCAGAAAAAATTAGTGTAAAAAATTTTAAAAACATAATACATGTTTATTATAAATAAATTTTACCATAGAGAAAAATATAAAGAATAAAATTTTTTGAGAAAGTACTGTATCCTTACCACCCAAAGATAACCACTGTTAAAACTTTGGTATGTAACTTTCCAGATTTTAAATGCATGCATACTTATAAGACACTTGCTCCTCAGAAGAAAAGGTATGGCCAACCTAGGCAGCATATTAAAAAGCAGAGACATTACTTTGCCAACAAAGGTCCATCTAGTTAAAGCTGTGGTTTTTCCAGCAGTCATGTATGGATGTGAGAGGTGGACTATAAAGAAAGCTGAGCGCCACAAGAATTGATGCTTTTCAATTATGGTGCTGGAGAAGACTCTTGAGAGAGTCCCTTGAACTGCAAGGAGATCCAACCAGTCAACCCAACCAGTCAATCCAACCAGTCAATCCTAAAGGCAACCAGTCCTGAACATTCAATGCAAGGATTGATGCTGACGCTGAAGCTCCAATGCTTTGCCCCCCTGATGTGAAGAACTGACTCACTGGAAAAGACCCTGATGCTGGGAAAGACTGAAGGCAGAAGGAGAAGGGGACGACAGAGGATGAAATGGTGGATGGCATCACCTACTCAATGGATGTGAGTCTGAGCAGACTCCGGAGTTGGTGATGGACAGGGAAGCCTGGCGTGCTGCAGCCCATGGGGCCACAAAGAGTAAGACACAACTGAGTGACTGAACTGAATACTTATATTAATAGCATTATATCTTCCCTGTAACAAATGGAATCACAGAAAGATTTTAAAGAAAAGAAAACGTTTTCTCAACTTCCCCTCCAATTCCAACTCCCAGTCATACCCAGCATTTAGTGTGTGGTATATATGCTTCCACTCCTTTCTCCAAGATCATAGAAACATATGTATGCACACGCACTTGCGTGCACAGACGCACCCGCGCATGCGTGCATATGCACCCGCGTGCGCGCGCACACACACACACACAAACAGAAGATTTGCACATTTTACAAAAATAAAGTGAAGTCGCTCAGTCGTGTCCAACTCTTTGCAACCCCATGTACTGGAGAAGGAAATGGCAACTCACTCCAGTATTCCTGCCTGGAGAATTCTGTGGATTGAGGAGCCTGGTAGGCTACAGTCAACGGGGTTGCAAACAGTCGGACACAACTGAGCGACTTCACTTCACTTCATACTGTAGCCTACCAGGCTCCTCCATCCATGGGATTTTCCAGGCAAGAGTACTGGAGTGGGTTGCCATTTCCTTCTCCAGAGGATCTTCTCGACCCAGGGATCGTACCCGGGTCTCCCACATTGTAGGCCGATGCTTTACCGTCTGAGCCACTGGGGAAGTACCTATTTACAAAAATGGGACCATAGAAAACATTACTACTTCACATGCATTTTGTCATTCAGTCCTCATCTTAGGCACATAGACAAAAACTGAGACAGTCACAGCACATCATATAGTAAGTGGTAACGTATTACTCAACCTGAGAGCTATCGGGTTTATGTTGTAGGCTTGGAAATACCATCAGAAGTTTAGAGACAGAGTCAAATCTTTGTGACAGGGTACAGCAGGAGACAAACCTGGTGCACTACGGCTGCAGGCAGGGGGTGGGGGGACGGTGGTGGTGGAAGAGGTGGTAAGCGCTGGAGGTAAACAAATTCAAGACATAAGCATGTTTCGCGGTTGGATATGGCCAGGATTTATGACCATTTGCGGTGATGCGGAATGAGGCAGTAGTCAGGTTCCACCTCCTGCCTCCAGGGGGCAGCCGAGGCCACTGAGAGATGGGGGCTGTTTCCTGTTCTAGAATATTTCATCTCTAGGAGGGTCCGGACCCTGAATGGGACAAACCATTATGGTGGGGAGCTGAGAATTTTGGTATTTGACTACAAGCACTTCATGTTCTTGGTTCTGAGTCTTTTCTGACCACTCCTGTTTCTTCCCACCTTCGAAGACTTGCAAAACTGTAGGACGTTCCTTTTTGTCTGGCGGGAGGGGAGGGAGGGGGAGAAAATCTTCATGCACCCCTCCCACCCTCGCGGTTTCTGGAAGTTGGAACATTCCCAAGGATAAAACCTCGAAAGGTAGGCCGGAGCCTTTCTTTTGTTGGCGCCCTCAGGGAGGAGAGGTACGTTTTGCGTGTGGCAGGCAGTTTTTTTGGCCTGTACTCTCACAGGCCGGGAGGTGAGGCTCGGTGGGAGGTGTCCTGGGGCGGGGCAAAGGGTCTTTATGAGGGTGTGAGGGGCGGAGGAGGTAAGCGGAGAAGAGGAGACTCATGGGGTGGGGGAGGGGAGGGGGACTGATAATCAGATTAATCCCCGCAGAGCCAGCCAAGCCCCAAAGGCACTCAGTCGTCATGGCCTTGAAATCTGAGGACCTCAGTAGTGGGTTCCAGCATGGCAAAGTGATGGCGTTCATCAACGAGAGGATGTCCAGGCACGCGAAAGGCCCTGAGTTCTACCTTGAGAATGTGTCTCTGTCGTGGGAGAAGGTGGAGGACAAGCTCAGGGCCATCTTGGAGGACCGTCTGGTGCCCAGCCAGGCCAAGGAGGCCTGTGCCTGGAGCAGCCTGGCCCTGGGCGTGCGCTTCGCCCACAAGCAGAGCCAGTTATACAGACACAGGGTGCGGTGGCTGCACGACTTCGCCGGGCTGCACAGGTCAACCGCGCAGGCGTTGGCCTCAGACCTGAAGTTGCTCGCGGCACAGCACGAGGTGGAACGCAAGGAGGCGGCCTTCCGGCTGCAGCTGATCCAGGCCAGCCTGGTGGAAGTGCAGAAAGAGCGGGACCTCCTGAAGTGGAAGCTCTTCAAGGCCGTAAGATTACTGTCCCCCGTCCCGCCCCGCCCATTCAGTCCTGCCGCGCCCCCCCACCTCCGCACACCCACCCCCACCCCGATGTCAGGGCAGGTCACAACTCTGCTCACTTCTTTCCAGGAGCTGATGTCTGCCCAGGCGCCAGTCGCAGAGGGGCCAAGCCTGGCCACTGCCAGTGGGGTTGGAACAGAAGGAACAAGTGAAGAGGAGGAGGAGGCAGGGGCCACTGCTACTACTGCTGCGGCTTCTGAAGCCACAGGAGGAGGAAGACAGGAGGATGCAGAGGGGGCGGAAGCTGCAGAGGGGGCGGAAGCTGCTGAGGGGGCGGAAGCTGCAGAGGGGGCGGAAGCTGCTGAGGGGGTGGAAGCTGCTGAGGGGGCGGAAGCTGCTGAGGGGGTGGAAGCTGCTGAGGGGGCGGAAGCTGCTGAGGGGGTGGAAGCTGCTGAGGGGGCGGAAGCTGCAGAGGGGGTGGAAGCTGCTGAGGGGGCGGAAGCTGCAGAGGGGGCGGAAGCTGCAGAGGGGGTGGAAGCTGCTGAGGGGGCGGAAGCTGCTGAGGGGGCGGAAGCTGCTGAGGGGGCGGAAGCTGTTGAGGGGGCGGAAGCTGCTGAGGGGGCAGAAAATCTGAGTATAGACCTTATGCAGCTTCTTGGAGTTGTAGACCAGAAAAATTACACCTCTGGCGGGCAGAGTGAGGGAGATTTCAGGTCATTGGAAACAGCCATGTATTCTTTCTCTGGGATGCTCAAGCCCAAGGCAACAGTCTCAGCTGAACCCCTTCCTGTCCAGCTCCCTGCCTCATTCACATATTCATACTCATGCCCCTTAACCCCCTTCCCGGATGCACCAACATCATTCCCATCCACATCTCCACCACAAGCACCGTTCACAGCAGGAGCTTCATCTCAGACGTCTCCCCACTGGGGATCCTCTGATTTTAGCTTGTGGTCTGATGGAGGGATCCAGAGAATAGACCCTCAAGAAGGAGACAGGAGCAATTCTGATCCCCTTCAGCAGATAAGACTTGCAGTATTTAGCAGGCCTGGGATTTGGGACTGCCCTTGGTGTAAATCTGTGAATTTTTCACTGAGGGGTAGTTGTTTCCACTGTGGAAAGTGTATCTGACTGTAGAGCCCTGAAGTGAATTCAGAAATGTGAAACAGCAAAAATATATCCAGAGGGGGGAAAAGTGGGCGGGGATGGGTGGTGTGAAGTCAGGGGAAGAGTGGGAGAATGAGGTTGGGGGAGGAGGGGTAGGAGTTGGGGACGGTGTAGACTGACAGTCTACACCGTCCCCAACTCCTACCCCATCTCCCACCCTCGTTGACCCCCTTTGTGTTCCAGGGGCTTCCCTGGTGGTGCAGACAGGAAGGAATCTGCCTGCAATGCAGGAGACCCTGGATCAATCCCCTGGATCAGGAAGATCCTCTGGAGAAGGAAATGGCAATCCACTCCAGTATTCTTGCCTAGAGAATTCCCTGGACAGAGGAGCCTGGCAGGCTACAGTCCATAGAGTCGCAAAAAAGTCACACACGACTGAACGAGTATCCACACCCCAGAACTGCTGCAGTTTCTGTTTGTATTTCTTTTCCCAACTCTAGTTATCTGTTGGGGGTGGGCAGCCAGTATATAACACTCCCACTCCCTACCCCCGCCCCCACACTAAGCTGTAGATGATTGGACCAGGAATGGACATTTGACCAATCCTGAGCCAAATGTTCTCACATGGGACATGTGACCCATCCTGAGCCAAATATTCTGAGAATCTGAACAGAGGCAGATTCCATAGTTCGGATGGTGTTGGGAAGTGAAGCAGTGGGTCACTGGGAGTCGGGGTCAAGGTCACACTCATGAACACCGAGGCCACAGCTGAGACCTGGCCCTGGCTGTGGGGGAATAGAACTGTATGCTTTACAGAAGTCAGGTGTCTTTTAGAGAATGACACTATGAGGGCCCAGGGGGCAGAGAGGCACAGAGAAGCAGAGAAGAGTTGATCCTGTGACCCCAGAGATGGAGAGTGACAGCCTGACCACTTTTCCACTTCCTGCAATTTTGCTGAATGAAAATTCATAGCAATCCTCTTTTCTTTAAGCTAACTTGAGCAAGTTCTTGTTCTGGGCAACCAGATTTTAGGCAAGCCAGAAGTTTATACCAGAAGAGAAGTTGCAAACTGTAAACCATCAAAGATGATGTTGGAACTGACTGGTGAGGTGCATCAGGGAGTGATGGGTAGTGGGGATTCCTGTATCCCAAGGCTCCAGGAATGAACTGGACAAGAAGCTTATTCATGTTCTGAGTGAATTTTGTAAGAAACAATTAAAGCAGGCCTGAGGTTAACCCTGGGCTTACAACAGGGCAGAGACTCACCACCCCTAAGGGAATCCCTCAGGGCTTTGTACAGAGGACGCCAGCGCCAGCTGCAGACAAAAGACTGCTATCGTTTGTTCAGCCTCATGAGAGGAGAATCCTCCCCAGTCCCCACTTCCAACTGGGGACAGGCAGATCTGAACAGGGAACTTGTGCCACTTTCAAGGTGAGTCAGCAACTGAGAGTGCCTGAAGGGGTTTGCTGGTCTAGACCACTGAACAAAGGATAATGCCATCCTGAGATTTTCTCTCCCCATCACCAGATTACAGTGGGAGTGGAGTCTGGCTACAAAGCTCCTAGTAAATTCAGAAATGCATAATGGAACATACCCTGATGGGAAATAAATTCCCAGAAGGTGGGAGTAGAAGGGGGAGGATGGTGTGCATCTCCCCATCTGATGCCTATAAGCTGTGTTGAGGGAAGCTAAATGTATGTTTTAGCCCACAGATGGAAGGATGGATCAAACTCAGATGGAGAAGCCCTGGACATCGCCTGGGAACTGTGGACCTAGGTACTGAAGCTGTCATAACCTGGGACTCCTCTGCAGTAACTGGATGTGACTTTGGGCTATATCTGGTTAGAGCAGATGTTAATAGTCATCAGGATTAGAGGCAAGATCTGTATCCTCCACTTGTCAGAAATTTCTTTGGGCTTGTTTATATCCTTGTTTATATCTTAGGAACTGTTTCCAAATCTCAGAACTCTTTGACATTTGAAATTAGATAATTCTTTGTTTCAAGAGGCTATCCAACATACTAGGATGTTTGGCACAATCCCTGGCCTCCACCCACTAGATGCCAGTAGCACCCCACCCCACCCCCACCAAAACAACTCTTGACAACCAAAAATATCTTTATTTGTTGCCACATGTCCACTGGAGGACAAAACTGCACTGATTGGGAACCATGGAGGCAATGAAATACTTAGGAGTAGTTGAAACAGGGGTGGGACACTAAGGGAGGAAAAGTGTTCATTGGGTCTGGCCAATGGGTGGGGGAGTGGGCAGAAGCCCAGTTGCAAGTACTGAGGAGTGAGCAGAAGTGAGGAAGTGCAATTACTGAGGGGAGGCTCTTCTTCAAGGACCCTTGACTGTGCGGTAGATCCTGCATACTGTATTGGAGGCATGTCCACTGTACTATTCAATGAAAAAATATGAGTGCCATTGTGTCTGTGTATGTGAAATAAACTCCCATTAAGTTCTGTATGTGTGTATGCTATGTATATTACAGATTTATGTGTGCCTTATGCTATAGATTTATGTTTGAATATGCAAAAGAAAGATGTCTGGGAAGACATTTAGCAAAGAAGCTATTAACTAGGGAGGGTGGTGGGATCCAGGATTAGAGGATGGGAAGCAGAAGTAGGTATATGGGGTTGGTTGGGGTACGGGGCAGTGGGATGAAGAGCCTTTATATCTTTATATACTTTTGTGTTGTATGAAGTAAAATAAATGCTCACAAAAGTACAAAAAATAAAAAGTGAATTTACTGGCATGGGTGGGTTTGGAAAGGCCACCTCTTCCTCTGGGACAAGAGGGAAGGAAAGCAGACACAAATCTGTGGGGAGGAGGTGAGGAACCAAGGCAGCTCCTATTTGTGTGTTTATGATGTGGACGGACTAGACAAGGGGACCTGAGAGTGAATGAGAATATAAGGTCAGGGTGTGGGGTGGGTGCTTCTGAGTAATTGCACTTGGGGAATAACTGAAGAGGAGGGTGGGGGTGAGGAATGGAGGGAAAGAAAAGGAAACCAAAGGGAAGACTGGGAGTCTAGAAGGAAAAGGCAGGGAATGGAGTAAGGCAGGTCCAGAAGGGGCACCAGACACAAACCCTTAGGTATTAAAGCCTGACACCCACTTGCCACAGCAAAAAGCAGCACATACCAAAGGGGAAGAGGCAGGAAGGGTTGGCAGAGTTCTCTGCCTGGCTCCCTACCCCCTCTAGGCTTGTAACATATCTTTTCTTTTGCTGCTCTGCTATGAAGAAGCTCAGTGCCAGTTATACTTTGTTTTCAAGTCCAATCAGATGGAAGAACAATTCGCAGCAACCCAGTTATTACCTGCAAATACCTAAGAGTTTAAAGCAAGGTCCAACTTACTTCAGGTTTTTTATTTTACCGTATGGATTATGCAGTGTTTGGCAAAGCAAGTGTAGTGGAGAGACTGGCAAATTGTGCAGCTGGAAGGGCCTAAAAGATGAGAAAGCAAAAATAACTTAAAATTATTAAAGCAAAATCTTAAGTAACAGGCTTATTTTGGCTTCTATTGCCATCTTAGTACTAATTTACAAAAACCTTAAGAATTAATACCCCATTTTGCAGATAAGGAATCAAGGCATAAAAAGTAATTTGCCCAAAGTCAAATAGGAACAGAATGAAGTTAAGTATTCAGGTCTGTCTGACTCCAATGTCATGGTATTGTGTCCCAGGCACTGAGGTAAGCACTTTACACAGTTTATTTTATCTTGTCCTTAATCCAATGACTGGTACTGTAATCACCATTTTGCAGATGCTCCAAGAAGTCAAGTGACTTGCTCAAGCTATCTGTACACTGTAACTGATTCTTGGCTGTCAGTACTCAGAAGAATTAATGACAATAGTTGAGAGCTAGGAAAGTTCGATACAGTTGACCATTGAACAATGTGGGGACCAAGGGCACCACACCCCTGCAGTTGAAAACCCACATAAAACTTTCGAGTGAGCCCTTATCCCTCCATATTGGAGGTTCTGCATCTGAGGATTCAACCAGCCTCAATCCTGTAGTACACATGTATTGAGAAAAATCTGTACAGTTCAAATCTTTGTTGTTCAAGGATCAACTGCAGTACACTCTCACTTAGTCAACATGCCTTGAAGAAGAGGTTTTTGTGGGCTTTTGGTGTTTTGTTTGGTTAAATTTTGAAAAGAATTTTAGCCCTCTGATAAAGGTAATGGGTTGAGGGGTGGGGACTCCATCTAAGGCTGATTTTCTGGAAACATCAAATGAACAAAAACCCCTTTTTGTTTCCATCAGTGCTTATTGTATATTGTGTATATTGTGCTCACTGTATATTGCCCATTATTTTACTTTATAATATACAGTTGGATTGAAGCTGTCATGAATTCATGAAGACACGGTAGCCAAGTTCTTTCATAATTACAAGTCCAGGTAACTTCTACCCCTTCCTTTCTGGCCCCAAATTCTTGCTGCACCTCCGTGCTCCCCTCACTTCCCACAAACACACATACCCCATGCTCAATTCCATCTCTATGCTACTGCCCACTGAGGAACTAACAATTACCAGAGAAAAGACGGGTTAACTCATTTTCCAAGTTGCGCCTTCTGTCCACTGTCATCCTTCTCAAGGTCCCCTACCCTTCACCTGACTCCACAACTAAAAGAGGCACTGTCCATATTAACCTGAGTATTGAAAACAGACTTTGACCAGTGCCATTTTTCTTGAGTCAGTCAGTAGAGCTGTACTTTGCAGTATACAGAGCACATATTGCGTAAGTGGTTTACCTAAGCCTCTTTGAACTCCAGCTCTCAACTCTCCACATAGGTGTCAGTTTGGCAGAAAGAACTCAGGCTTCATAGCAATATACACAGGAGTGCCTTATATACAGAGTAAGCTCTGTCTGTTACCAACCTGGAGCTCTTTGAAGCCTCAGTGATGAAATAGAGAGGAGTGAGGACCAATTCAACTTTAAGTTTACAACCTTTTCCAAAATAGTTGTCCAACACCAAAATAGCAGAGTGCTCAATTATAATCCTAATGATTAATATGCTCATAACCTTTTATAATTATACAACACCTTCACAAAGAGACAGTGAAGACTAATAGACATACACAGTGGCTAGCACAGTGCCTGGCACGTAGTAAGTGCTCAAAAATGTTAGCTTTCCCTCAGTGTCTGCCTAGGCCAGTGTTCAATATGCGATACTCAATCCTTATTGTGTTCACTGGCAAACAATATGAAAAGCAAAGATAATTCATTTTATTTATTGACAATGCTAGAAATGATCATGTGCCTGAATACTTGAAATAAGAAGGCCGATCATTTCTGTAGGCCGAGACACTGGTGAAAAAACATTAATATACTCACTGATTAAGTGTCAACGTTGGTGGCATGAATGCTGAGGCTTGACCTTCCTCCTCAAATCCAAGTAGGTGCTGACACTTCAGAGACACTAACAGGTGATTATGACTGCTTTTCACACAGAATGACATAGCCAGAATGTCCATTTTTGTATACATAGGTTGAAGCAATATAATTGACCCTAAATCATTAATTATCCTTTTTGCATATTCTTACTGAGTCTCATACAAACAGTGAAACAAGTCCATCGGCTCAATCTGTAACCTATAAGATTTATTCTTTATTTCTTTCTCAGTCCACTTCAGTAACTCTTCTCGAAGTCCTGGAGACACTTTTTCCCCAAAGGTTGTCTGCACAGCCTTTTCCTTTCCTTTATATAAGAGGCCAAATAAGAACTGTATTGTTAGTGATGAAAACCCTTTTCCATACTGTTGGAAGATTTCTTGCCATGTTTTCCCCACTTGATCAAAAAACATCCAGCTGCTCTCATTCTTCAAGGTGTAGAACACAGCAGTCAGGAACTCTTGGAAACTGAAGTGAAGGAAAGTGTAGACACCGACAACTCCTTCAACTTTTTTCAAAAGGTGATTGAGAAAAGTGCAATTGGTATCATATACTCCTATCCCATGTCTTCTGAGGTCACTGACTTCACATAGGACCTGCTGGTTCTGTAGTCCTTCTGCAGCCAAAGAATAAAGGCCCCACAGGCAAATTTGTCCCTTCCACACTGAGATACCTGTAAGAGTGTTGAGACACTTGGAAAAGTAAAACAAGATACATATCAGTCATAGTTTGACATGATCTCGTAAGAGTCCTGCCTCCATCTTCCTGTGACTGCAGGACTCTACAGATCATCCAGGAGATGATGGGAAGAGAAGACATAATGTGAAGGCCTTCATTTTCTCGCAGATCATAAAGGACTCTCATTGCTGCATTAGCACCTGAAAACTGACTCAAGAAATATGCTCTTTTTTCAGCATTGTAAACCCCAGGATCTCTGTTTGGATAGGTTGCTTTAACAGAGAGTGAAGCTTCTTCATGGTTCTAGGCTGAGCAGTTATCAGGAGGGAGGATTCAGGGAACAGTTTTGTCCTCATGAAACTGTGTAAGAGTCTCTTCTGGCTTCCTTTCCAGGGGATTGGTACTAAGATCCTCTTCCTGGTCACTGACAGAGTACTGAAGCTCAGGAAATCCATCAAGAATGAACAGAAGCTTCTCTGGATA